AGTCTCCTTTTTAGTAGACTTCGTAACAGTCTTCTCCTTTTTCTCGTCCACCTCTTTATCGGCTGACGGATGGTCTTCATAGCTATGGTTCAGATATGAGATCATCAGTAATTGATGGACAGATAGTGACGATAGGATACAAACCGGAAGAGAGCTTTAATGTCACCCCTAATGAGAGCGACCGAAACGGGAAAACTAATACAAAAGGGGACCAAATAGAGGAGCGCCGGCTGTGCGTGTTTGAAGTATGCCATCACTACTATTGTCAACACTAAACCCAAGATATACGCCACGAAACTCGTGTAGAAATACACGTTTCCTTTCCTTTTCAGACTATTTAACAATTATTGAAATGAGTGTTGAGTTGAGAGGAATGTCCAAAAGAGTGGTGACTATACCTGACGTCGAAACGCAATAAGAGAGCGATGAAAATGCCGGGAATGACGATATCTCCCAACCCTAACATTGCAAAGTGGGTGCCATTGACTCCACTCTCGAGGAAGTCTTGAGGGAAGACCAGTTTGATGGGGGCTTCGAATGATTTGGCCACAGTTACCATCACATCGGTTCCAAACACCCAAAACACGTCGTACACGAAGAGTCCGCCCAATAATATACATCCGGTGACGATATTATTCAAGTGTAATAACTCGACGCCATTCACAGCGAAAGCCAAACCAAAGATATTATTTGCGATCCAATGCTATATCAATACATTCAACGCATGGCTTATTATCACTCAAACATATGGACACAACATTTGGATACCTTCTTAAAGAGATACCAAACTCCGAGCGCCGCACAGACGACAAGTGTTACAAAATCTCTGGAATCGAAACGATAGTCGATTAGAGACTCCATTGGATCATCACTTCCTTTATTGAAGATCAGGTGATAAGGAATTACTGGAAATGCTTTCGGTATAAATCGGTTCACAATTGGACTCAAAATGTGTGCCAAAGCAAGAACTCCGAGGAAAAAGAAATAACCGGTGAGTAAGAGATTGATGTACTCTTTGGAGAACAGCTGTCGGTAAACAACATTCAGTCATCGATTAGATAATGTGTTTTGGGTGTCAATCACTGTATCGATGATTACCTTAAAGAAGATGTAAAGTCCGAAGAGAGCGGCGCTGGCGATGAGTGGGAACATCGCCGCGTCTTTGTGTGTCATCGTCTCCGGCTGTTCACCCGATTCCTGTAAATGGCATTCAATGACAATCAATCATACAATGAGTGAGCAATGGCTTCAATGACACACTTTTTGCTGTTTGTGATGAATGACTGAACGAAAGGCGCCGAAGAAGATGGGAATCAAAGCCATGACAATAATGCTTCCGTAGGCGCAGAGCATCCCTTCCGGCGTTGACTTCACTTTTTCGGTGCTATTGTTGGCAATCGTCTCATTCATTGTGGCGTTTAGTTGACTCAACACCTGATCCACCGCTTCTGAAGCCATGGCTTTGACTTTTGGATGTGTTGTGAATTGCAATCAAATCTTATGTTAAGACTTATCGCAAACACTTTTGAGTCCGACGTGTACTTCAAGTCAACACTCTTTCACATACTATACGTCCCGTAATTAGCATTACATTTATGATCAAAAAATACCATTTATTTTACATTAATTACACGTTATTTGCATTCAAATGAATGTAATATAAATTGGTTTAAATGAATGAATGACTTAACAGTAATTAAAGGCTAATTATTTGCTGAGGAATAAGACGGGGAGTGGAGAGCCGGTGAGCCCTTCCCTGCCTTTGCTGTACACGTAATGTATGGAAGAGTTGGTAACGTGTAGTGGATGTGAGTGTGAAATGTTTGAAGAGTTGTGTTTATTATCTGTAATGACGTGTAAAGTGTGGTCTTTAAAGACTTTAAGTGATCATTAAATCCCATAACTTATTGTACTTCAGAGCCATTACTCGCGAGTATTGACCACATTTTGCAA